GCCCCGTTAGAAGCGCTGACGGAAGGGGAAGGACCAGGAGAGCCACGACAGCCGTCCAGGGCCACAGCCTCTGTCGGGTGGAGGGGAGCCGAGGCGCGGGCACAGCCTCACTCCTTCAGCTTCTCCTCCGCCATCCCCAAGAGAAAAAAGGACGACCTATGGCACCTACCCCAGGAGAAGCCCCGCGCCCTGCTAAAGGCCCTTCCCAGCTCCTCGGGCTCCTTGCCCTCCTCCCTCACAGCGGCCCGCGCACCCCGAGCTGTGAGGCGAGAAAATGGCGGGGCGGCGCCTTCTCCCCTCAGCGCGGTTCGCCCCTCAGCAGCCCCGCGGCCGGAGCCGGGAGAGCAACCGCCTCTCCGGGAGCTTCGGGAGCGGCTGAAACGCGATGAGGATGCTCCACCTGGCGGGCAGAGCCGCGCAGCCCGGGGGATTCTCTTCACACCAACGTTCCTGGTCTCTCAACGTCCGATGAAACGAGTTTGAGGACATTTCCAGAGCCAGCCCCGCGAGGAAAGCGCGCCCGGCTCAGCCCTGAGCCCGCTGTGCTGCCATCCCCGTGCCTTCACCTCAGACACTAAACCGCCTCACGGCTTCCCATCCTGATGCTTCACCCGAACGCATCCATTCCCCTCGTTGCTTGCTTCATTACGTTCTATAAGCGGTTTGGAGGCAGCTCTCGTCCCCATCCTGGGACGATATGTAATATTTGAAGGATTGTTTTGTGCGCTTCCAAAGGCACAAAATGCGTTTTGCTTTGACGCCTCTCGGTTCCAACCTCCCCCGGTAGGGAACGCCTTTTCGCGTTTCCTAAGGGAAAAAAGGTGTGAATGAGGAACTTTTCACAGAGAAAACAAGAGCCAGCAGAAACTCCCGTCTTTATTTGAACGCTTTGTTTCCTTTTGTTCGAATTGTCAGAGAAAACCCCGATGGGAACCAGAGACCTGAAGCAGGGCGGAGGCGTACAGCGAGTCCCCCCCCCCCCCCCCCCCCCACCTTGTTTTTAGGGACCTTTTGGTCCTTCTGATGGCTATGGGTGCTTTAAGCGAGCACTCAGCCTGCTCTCTCTCGCCTAATACTGAGCAGATTACAGCCTTAAGCACAGCTCTTTTGGGGGAAGAAACGGAAGGAGTGGTAAACGATGTTTCAGGGGCACAGCAATTGGGATAAGGATAGGGATAAGAATAAGGATGGGGATGGGGATAGGGATAGGGACAGGGATAGGGATAGGGATGGGGATGGGGATAGGGATAGGGATAGGGATAGGGATAAGGATAGGGATAGGGATAGGGATAAAGACGAGCATTAAGAAAGGTACCGAGGGCAGCACCCCCCAACCGCTCAGCCCTGGGCTGAACATCCCCGCTCCCCTCGCGGCGTGGGAGAACCGGTTCTCCCCGCTTCCCGGAGCATCAGCACCGAGCCCAAGCCCTCAAAAATCCCGGCTGGCTCCGCAGGTACCCGCCCCAGGGACTGCGTGCACTCAGGCAACGCCGCTTAGCATCGCTTAATGAACTTCCACATCTCCCTCAATCCTATCGAGACCTCTAAAGTGGGGTTTCTCCTTCCCGGGAGGGGATTTATTAATGCAATACTTAACGCCAATCAAAGGCTTAAAAAATGTATTCGCACCTCTGCTGCGTGCCAAACTGCTTCTACATAAACGATCCCGGGGGGAGGACGGTGCTGGGATCCGACGGGGCACGGGGTGGCTCCTGGAGCCGATGCTAGAGGGCTCCGCTGGCCCCGGGCCGCATGGCACGGCCCTTACTGCAGGCAGTGTTTTTGCCGACTTATTTTTTGAAGTGCAGTTTTATTCCTTCTTCTCCAGTGGGCTCATCCCTGAAGGGCTAACCCCGCACCCTACTTGGCTCCCCCGTAGCGGATGGCAGAGCCGTGGCCCGGCTGAAGGTGGCCATCATTGCCGGCTGATAATGGCACGAGGAACGCCTGTAGTTATTATGTAAGGTGGAAAAACGCTTCCGAAGCCCCCGGCTCCCAAAATGGGGCCGGCACCCGGCCGTGCCCGAGGGCTGCGGCAGCGGTCACCCCTTAGAAGTTAACGAGGGGCTGCTGGGCGCTGCCCGGTGTTGGCTATTCTTCCCACCCCCAGCAGAACCAGCGTGGTGGGGAACAAAGGCTGGGAGTTGGGGGGCAGCCCCCCGCCCCGCGAGCGGCTCTCGCTGCTTCTAATGAGGATTCATTTATTTAGCCTACAGTGAGGGCTTTCATTGTGGAGCCAGTCTCGCTCTGTCTACAGTCATTAGGTTGCAGCCCGGTTATTCCCCCACCAGATCATGCGCACGCTTAAAAATTAATTAATTAATTAATTTTAGCTGCAGTATATTATTAATCGTCATATTGCCGATCTGAACGTGCTCCCCATCCGCACAGCATTGCCGCCTTCACCTCTCTGAGAAAGTCTCAGGGCTGTTCCCACCAGCCGCGTCCGGGGATGCTCCAAGGAAGCCCCGTGCTCACCCCGAGCAGCTTCGGGGCTTTTATCCCTCCCGACAGGGCTATGTGGGACCTCCCTGAGCTGTTCAGTTGAAGTTTTTCCCCATTCCATCCGGCGTGGATGGGGCGGATGGGACAAACATCAGTGTTTGAACCTCAGCAATGTTTACAGATGTTATTTTCCTTTTCTCCCGTTTTTCCTTTCTTTTTCGCTTTGTGGACCCAACCCGGGTCCACAAAGCGAAGCCGCAGCGTCCCTCGTTTATTCTTCAAGTTTCTGCGGAGCGTCTCTGAACCGGAGAGTTCTGCGTGTGCTTTTCTGTCTCCCCGGCTCTGTCGGATTCTATGAAAATGAGCAGTATTGAAAGCTGCTCCATCCCGCTAGCTGTGAGCCTCACATAAATGATGTAAATGGCTCCGAGGGTTTTTTTCAAGTGAACTGTGTAGATCTGTGAAAATAATATCAGGGTTTTCCGTCAGAATGAGCTTAGCACTGTACTGAGGCGTACCATAATCTGACCCGACACCTCCGACCATCTGCGCTATCTATCTGCCTTCTGATTTACCAAATCTTCACGAGCAAAAGACAAATTGTACTTGATACTAAAGGAAAAAGGCGAGCCGAGTGCGGCTCCGTTCTGCGGGGAGATGGATGATGGGGGGAAACGGGAATCTGCTTAATTTTGGGCAACCGACAAAGGAGGAGAGAAAGAAAAACAGCACAGTGATAGTAATAAAATTATAAATTAATAAAAAAAAAAAAAGAAAGGAAAAGGAGAGAGGAAAGTCAACATGACATCGAATCACGGAAGCATTCCTTTGACAAGTGTTCCAGAAATAAAAAAAAAAAAAAAAATAGGCAAAAGCATCGCAAGGAACATATTGAGCTTATTTCCCATAGACGCTGCCTTTCCGAGCGTGGCCCTTCCGAGCCTTCTGAGCGTGCCTTTCCGCCGCTGAGCCGCGAGATACGGAATGAAGAACGCGGCCCCGTGATTTGGTGCCTCCGCTCGAAGCCGCGCTCCGCGCTGCTGCCGTCCCCGCTCCGCTCCCAGCGCTGGGAGGAGGAAGCCGCGGGGAAGGGCTACCTCGGGGTGATCAATATTGCAAAAGATTCCTGAAATCTGCTTCGAGTCGCCGTCCTGACCTAGCGATGACTTCTCACTCCCCGCTGCTGTTCTCTGCGTCTGTTCAGGGCCACTCAGCCGAAAACAATACGGTTTTAAATGTTAGGGGGGGGAATAAAATGATAAAGCTTTAATAGGGCAGAGAAGGGCGCTGAGCCCTTTGCAGATAATTCCTCGTAGTAACAGAGACGGGAAGTCACTGATAAGGGGAGACGAGGGGCAGTTTTTCCCTAAATCTCAGCCCCTCCTGCACTGCTCTACCCGCATCCATTGTCAGCGGCGCCCCCGGCAGCGCTTCTACAACGCAGCAGCCGATCTCTGTGCGATCCCCCCGCACTGCTCCATCCCGCAGAGCCCCGAGCTCCGGCTGTGCAGCACCGCGCCCGGCCCTGGGTCCCCGTGCCGCCCTCCTGTGCCCCGCTCCCTCCGTCTTTCCATCAGCACCGGGGCCCGGTTCTCTGTTCAGCGCTTTCCCACTCTGCCCGTGGGACCCCAGTGAGAGGGATGGGGACCCCCGGAACTTGATGGGGACCCTCCGAAAGGGACGGAGACCCCCGACAGCTGACAAGAACGTACGGGAGTGGCACGGGGATCCCTGGGAGCAGGACGAGGAGCCCTGGCAGCGGGGCGGAGACCCGCTGAACAGAGACGGAGAGCACTGGAGCGAGTGGGGAACCCCAAGAGCTGAACGGGAACCCTCGGGGACGGGACAGGGGCCCCCGAGAGTGGCACCGGGACCCCCGGGAGCGAGACGGATACCCCCGGAGCCGGCCCGGATCCCCGGGGCTGGACGGGGGCCCCACGGAACGGGTCGGGGACACCCAGGAGAGAGTCGGGGACCCCCCCGGGAGCAGGGCGGGAACCCCTGGGAGCGGGGCGGGGACCCGGCCCCGGGCAGCGGGAGCTGCGGCTGCCGGGGAGGTGCCCCGGGCTCAGCGGCGCTGCCCGCCGCCGTGATTGGCAGCGGCTGACAGTGAGTGGCAGCCCCACCATGGAAACCCGGAGCCAATCTGCCGAGCCCGGCAGCGAATCAGCCTCTCCCGCTGCAGCACGGCGGTGGCGGCGTGGAGCTGGGGTTGTGCCTTTTCTTTTTTCCCTTTTTATTTTTTTCCCATTTTTCTTTCTTTCTTTTTTTTTTTTTTTTTTTTTTCCTTCCCTTTCCCTTCCCTCCCTCCCCCCACGCCCGCCCTCCCCCCTTTCCTCCATCCTCCTCCTCCTTGCCCCTACCCACCGCCCCCAGTCGCCGCCGAGCGCTCCCCGTCGCCTCTCCGCCCCGCGCCGCCCTCCGGCCGCAGCTCCCTCTCTCCGCCGGCTCCGGGCGAGGCAGAAGCGGGGCTCGGGGCGGCCGCCGGGGCCGCTGCCCGCTTCCCCGCCGCGGGGCTGTGCGAGCCGGCGGCGGGGGGCATCGGAGCCGCCTCCATGTTCCAGCTGCCCATCCTCAATTTCAGCCCGCAGCAGGTGGCCGGGGTATGCGAGACCCTGGAGGAAAGCGGGGACATTGAGCGCCTGGGGCGCTTCCTCTGGTCCCTGCCCGTGGCCCCGGCGGCTTGCGAAGCGCTCAACAAGAACGAGTCGGTGCTGAGAGCCCGGGCCATCGTGGCCTTCCACACGGGGAACTACAGAGAGCTCTACCATATCCTGGAGAACCACAAGTTCACCAAGGAGTCCCACGGCAAGCTGCAAGCCCTGTGGCTGGAAGCGCACTACCAGGAGGCGGAGAAGCTGCGGGGCCGACCCTTGGGGCCGGTGGACAAATACCGGGTGAGGAAGAAGTTCCCTCTGCCGCGCACCATCTGGGACGGCGAGCAGAAGACGCATTGCTTCAAGGAGCGGACGAGGCATTTGCTGAGGGAGTGGTACCTGCAGGACCCTTACCCCAACCCCAGCAAAAAGAGGGAACTGGCTCAGGCCACGGGACTTACCCCCACGCAGGTGGGCAACTGGTTCAAAAACCGCAGGCAAAGGGACAGGGCGGCGGCCGCCAAGAACAGGTAGGTGCTGCCCGACCGCAGGGCTGGCGGCCGCGGGGCCGGGAGGGGTTCGGCCCGACGGGCAGAGCCTCGGGGCGGTCCTGTAAGGGCACAGCAGCGAGGGAAAGCGGGAGCAGAGGGAAAACCTGACAGCTTCGTTTCTTTTATTATCATTATCATCATCGCCATCATCATTCCTTTTAAAATATATTATTTATTTTATTTGTATTTTTATCCCGGCTCGGGCAGCCCCCGTGTGCTCTGCAGCTCGGATTGACCCGCACAGAGCAGGGCCGTGCGATCCGATGGGGCGGGCAGAGCCCCCCGGAACCGTGCCTGGACACACGGACACCTCGTTCACTGTGTCTGTCTGTCCGGAGCAGGGCCAGCGATGCGGCCCAATATCCCCACTGTGCGCTAATTCTTGGAGCCAACACAACAGCGCTCCTTGGGTCACTTTTTGGTGTTTTTTTTTCCTTCCTCTTTTCTCTCTCTCTCTCTCTTTTTTTTTTCTTTTCATTTTAACCTGGCACAATCAGGCAGGCGGTGAAGCGAGCGGCTCCCTCCGGTACTCAGTCCTGCACGAGCCTGGGGGAGAAAGAGGCAATCTTGTCACCTGCCACATCGGGGCGGTGGCTTTTACGGCACCCCCAAAGCAGGGAGAAAAGCCCGAAAGCCTCTGCGTGGGCTCAGCAGTAGGGCCGGGCTGGGCAGCCGGGCTGGGAGGGGCCGCTGCCCATCGGGGAAGGGGCTGCAGGATGGCAGGGGTGCTCCGTGTGCCCCCCGGTGACGCTCGGTGTGCCGCTTCCTTGCAGGCTACAGCAGCAGGTCCTAGCGCAGGGCTCGGGGCGATCGCTGCAAGCGGAGGAGGAGAGCGGTGGGGTGGGGGGGGGGGCGGCCTCCAGCCCAGCCGTCAGCCTCTCCAGCAAAGCGGCCACCTCCGCCATCTCCATCACATCCAGCGACAGTGAATGTGACATCTGACAC